TTCTCCCACAAAACAAGTAATGCTTATGAGATCACCCAGGCATTCTCAAAGCTAAGTACTCTAAATGACATGTCCTTGCAAGCAAATGTTACTGCAGAGCCTAGGACAACGAAGCAGTAAATCCCACCGAGGTGCTAATCGGTCTCCTCCAGAACAACTTCAGAAAAGTTGTACAGGACAGGAGTGCTTGACCACTGCAAACATGGCAAATGGAAACTCTATTTCTCACCACACTTACATGCAACTAACATGGACAGTCATCTTGCATGGGAACTTCATGTACTCAGGAAATTCAAATTCTTTTTTCCCCTTTATCAGTCTGGAAACTTCAGCAGCTCTGAGTTACAAACTCTCCTATGTTGCTGATTTAGCATAAAAAAGACAAACCAGATTACGCAGTAACATCTGTGCTGTGCTTTACTTAACAAAAGAAAAAGCCATGGTAAGGATGTGCAAGTACTTGCACCAGGATGGCCATCTTCAAACACATCAGCACACTGAACTGACAATGTGAAAGAAATGTGATCATTTGCAAAACAATTTGCCATTTGGAGTTCAGAAATACAACACAATTTCAAAATGCTCAGTATAAGGCTGTGAAGAGCTCACAATTTCTCTTGGGAGGTGGTAATTTAAGATGGGAGTAAAAAAATGTGTCTGTTGCTCTCCCTGAAAGCAATATTTTGGAAGAAATTACCAGCTTTCTTTGAGAAGTGCTTACATGACTTGTAATATTGCAAATGACAAAAAAATGCAATAAAAATGCAAGAATAAAAGCAACAAAAAGGGAAAAAAACACAACAATAACAATAATACACTTGAATGATAGATCTTTTTAATATTACTTAAACAGAAGAGATCTGACCCACACAAACACTAGGAACAGTTAAATTAGGAAGGTCCTTTCCATCACTGAAAGTGCTCTTCACATTCTCACTGTAACTTCTGCGTAAAATCACTCCAGTCTCCATAAATATCACACACACAGGCCTCAAAGTAAAATATTAGATAGATAGATAGATAGATAGATAGATAGATAGATAGATAGATAAAAAGTTTCCTACAATGGCCCCAGAACTGTCCTGGAAGTTTGAATTGACGCCCCATAGGCACTGAGCACTGTGTATCAGCAAGAATTCACACTGATAATCCACTAAGGAGGCAAAATGCACATTTGCAGCTAGGACTAACTTTTCCTTGAAGAATTACTTTGTTCCTTTAGTCCAAAGACATTCTAGACAAAATATCTTCAATTGTAAGACCCAGAACTGACTCCATTGGATGCCAGAAGTCACGGCCTCCGGGCACTTGTTTAAGGGCAAATTACCTTTCCCATATTATAATTCCTGCTAATCCTCCCTCCAGCACACACTATACCCCAGGTGCTACATAGTCAAACTTTACTGCTCTCTTACTGCTTTGTTATCACAACTCCCCTTTATCAGCAACCCTCCCACAAACCATTTATTTAAATCATTAAATTCAGAGCTTTAGCCCCTTACAGAAAACAGCCATTCACAGGCAGTACTTAAAAGTTCTGCTGCTTTGGTTTCCAACCTAAAGAAAAAACTGTTGGTCCATAAGTTTGCTTATTTTTCTAACTACCTTAGCTGGTCTGACAAAAAACAACAACCAAACAAACAAACCAAAAAAAAAAACAACAAAAAAAACCCCTCTCTCTCAGAGATAAGAACTTCAGGTGGTCAGTACCACTCTCATTCCTCAGTGTAGCAACCCATGTGTGAAGTGGAAGACTACATATTACACTGCAGTCGGTAAAATGGAAATAATGAAGAATGGCATTATCTGTCTTTTATTTTATTTTATTTTATTTTATTTTATTTTATTTTATTTTATTTTATTTTATTTTATTTTATTTTATTTTATTTTATTTTATTTTATTTTATTTTATTTTATTTTATATGCTCAGGATGGGGGAAAAAAAAAGCTATGAGTCTCACGAAGGCCAAGTGCAAAGTTTCTGTCCCAAAGATTTAAGTACACCCGTAGTCTCAGCTTTAAGTGTGCATACTGGGCTGAATCAGAGCAGAAGCATCCTGGAGTTTGAACAATACTGCTAGCATCTGTCTTGCCCTTTCTGGTCCTACAGTCTTCATTTTGGCCAACAACTAGAAATGCAGTGTCTCATACAAGTTATCATTTGAGGGAAGTTCAAAATGGTATTTTTAATGACCATATTATACCCTTTGGCTAAGTAATTTGCCTAAAGGTGTTTCCTTGAAGAGGAAGCTTCATATCTGCTTTAGTATGAAGCTCTCAAACATGTGAATCAGCGGAGTCTACAGCACTGAGCACAGTGTACTCACCAATACTGATCCAAATAAACTTGGATCTGGGTAATACTGCTTAGGAACTTTGCAATAAACACCTATTTTCTCAAGCTCTCCTAGGCCAACACACAAACACACAGTGTGCATTTAGTTCTAGTTTCTTCCATTTTAAATAAGAGCTACATTTCCCTGCTGAGTGCTCAGAGAAACTAGCAATTGCTGTAGGCAGCTTAACAAGTGAAACACATTCTATTTTGTAAAAAAACAAAGAAACCCACACCAATCACAATAAGGTGCTGATACACTTTACTGCTATTGAAAAAAAAAAAAAAAACACAAAACAGCATCCCAAGATAAAGACTAGATGCTCAGACTGGGGACCCACAACAGTCTCTATTAAGTGGCCAGGCACATTACTTGGTAATTAGACACATCATTAGGATAAACTACCTTTAGCATAAGAGAATTCAATTTGTCTTTGTGTCTAGAGTCTTTGTGTCTTTGTTTCCTCAAACACTGTCTGATGAGCTTCTGATTATGCTACTAAGTCGGAAAAATATTTATTAAAAAGGAAAACCAACAGTATCAGAGACTTCCTATCCCTGAAGCCCCACAGTCCTGCCCATACAGAAAAGCCTCTCTCCTGACGTCTGTATCAGCTTCTCTCCTTACTCAGTGCTCATTTCTCCCACTTCAAGCAGTGCTCTCTCGCCTTCTGAGTTCGGAAAAAAATCTTCCAATTCTGTAATGTCAATTAAGTCCTCTTCARCATTAGCGAAGAGACAAACTGGGGATCAAGACTAGTTTTTTTGGTTCATCTGTGTTTTTTCCCCAGAAGACTGTATCTGTTTGGAGTTACAGAGCCTGTTTCATAAGCTGTGCACTCTAGCCTAGTTCAGGCTCATTGCTTGCTCTCTCTCAGCACATTACAGTGACCATTATGTCTGCACACAGCGTTCACCCCCGCCAGCTCCCTTGCTGCAAGCAGCCTCAGACACTGCTAAACTGCAGTTCCAAAACTGCTAACTGAAATGCATCAGCTAGCATATTTTAAAGACAACATTTGTCCTTGTTAGGCCTGCTGTTGGAGAGAGCTGTTAGGATTCAGTGTGCAGAAAAAGCAGAAATTCAGTCTGCAGAAAATGCAGAAATTGTACAGTTCTGGTCTGTATTCTGTACAAACCACACAGCCCCACTTGCCAGCTTACTCTTAATTGCTGGGCTTGCCTGGAGGTAAAAGACTTCACAAAGCAAAACAACTATTTAACTTGCAAGTCAACACTCGGAGTGCAGCAAAAGGAAGTGCAAAACTAAATGGAGTTTATTGCTCTAACTAAAGCCGTGATTTCATTGAGCCCAACTATGGCCACAGCTCAATTTCACAAAATCCTCTTGTAAAAACTGGAGATACAATTCTGATATTTGAAACAGTGTTAATAACAAAGGATATTTCACCCCCACAAACAGGAATGCATCCCTTTTCAAACTTAATTACTCTGTAAACAAAAAACAGCACTTGCTTTAGGCTAAATGCTGCGCTCCGCTCTAAATTTGAGGAAACATCTATTTGCAGAGCAGATGGGGTGAGTCAGCTGCCAGCAGAATCTGCGCTCCCTGGACACAGGCAGTAGAGAGAAAGCCTAGATGCAATAAAACTATGGAGTGCAAAATACTGCAAAAGCAGGAATACATGCCCTTTAAGAAAGAAAAAGCACAGCCCCGTGTGCAGCAACCAGGAGCCACTATTCAAACAGACATTTCTATTGAAACATCAGCTGCGTGGACAGCAACCCTCTTTCCCCCATCTCAGCCCACAGTCCCAAAGAGCATTATGTGTTTGGGAAGAAACTCATGGGGACATTGTGTGTGCATGGACAATATACAGGATATCCTTAATAACCTCAGAAGGATCACAGTGAACTGGAAAAGGGGCAGGAAAGTGCTGCAGTGATGAACAGTGAAGAACCATTAAGCAGACAGCATCTTAGGCCTGGAAGTCAGCACTGAGGGCTGATATGCTGTAAGGAATGAACCTCATGAAAGGCATGGGCAAGCTCTGCAACTCATTGCCACCGGAAGCTATGGATGCCAGGAGTTAAGTGCRTTCAGGGAGCAATAGGAGGTTGATAAGAAAAAAAAAGGTTGTGTTATTAACACTGTGTACAGGTACAATGTTGTTGGCTCCTGAAACTCTTCAGCTGCCAGTTGTTGGAACTGGGAAATTGTTCTGAGAAAGAATCAGTTAAAATTCTTTCAATTCTGACCTGTCAGGTCAGAAAAGAGGCAAAAACAGACCAGACACTTTGCTGCTCTCAAGGATCAGACACTGATCTGGAAGACCCTTTTTTACTGATCCAGGACTGCATCTCTTATGATGAACTGGAGCAGAACCGTGTTACACACAGGTGCATCAGCTGCTTTTTCCTTAGTCCACGACAATCCAAAGGACCTACACAGGAGAGGGGGCTGCAGCTGTGGCCACGGCAGCTCCAYGAACCTGCCCGAGTGGCGGAGCTACCACAGCTCCTGGAGAGAGTCAGGCAAGGGCGGATGGTGCTGCACGTGCACAGCAGCCACTAGTGCAGCAGGGCAGGCTGCATTTGCAGCCAGCAAATAAAAGAGGGCATTTCCCCAAGTTRTACCACGGGACTGACTACCTCAAACAAAGCTAAATAAAACAACCCCCCCACAATATCAGTAATTCCTTACCAGTCTCTTTTGCTGCAGCTCTTCTCTAAGTAATCTGTCTTCTGGTAGAACATCACATAGAAGAAAATAATTGTCCTGTTCTTCTGTTAAAGAGATTAGGAAGGGAGCGTAAGGGAAAGATATTTGCTTTGAATATTTGAGGCATATAATCTGCTAGACCTTCAGCGTGCTTTCAGAATGTTAGATGATCTTTTTTTTTTTAACTTTTAAAAATCTGTTATTTTATTTTCATACTTTAATGAAACATACTTAAGTATTTTGATACACATATTTTTACACATTATCTAACAGCCTTTGTCAGTAATCGCACACATGCTTCGGATTCTAAACTGAATTGTATTTACCTCACTTATACTGTAGTACAAAGACCAAAGTATAGCACAGATTCCCCTCTCCCCACTCTTATTCTCTTTTATACTGTTTCTTCTTGCACCATCAAAGCAATTTTAATCATTGATATTGGTCCCAGTTTAAAGTCAGCATGAAAGAAACATCAAATGAGCTTTAATTCTATCTTGAATATGGGATTTTAAGTTATTTTTCTAAGAAAGAGTTAGTAGCCATATTATGTCACAGCAGCAGATTTGTCAAGTACAGTCTTTGGTCTTCTGTTGCAGCCCAGACAAGTGCAGACTGTCTGCAGACTTCTTCCTCGTAACATGAAGATGCTTTCTCCTAACATTTTGGGACAATAGCAAGCCTAATGACAGGAAAAAGGGTTCATGGCTGCAGCCCGAGTGTCCRGAAGAGGTAGCAGCATGAGGGGGGTGGCAGTCAGGGTGAATTTGGAAAGACAGATCACTTGGAATGTGTTTCCATATTTCTGGAAAAACTGGCACCACTTATTATGCAGTGGGTACCAAGTTCCTTAGCCATGGTGAGGTGCAGAGCTGCTCCTAGGACKCGACTTACAACCTGGACTCAATTCACCAGTGCAATTGAGTAGGTACTTGTGGTCTACCTCAGTCAGCACCATGCTGAAGTACAATCCTTTGAAAGGTCAGTTAAACAGGTCTGGTTAACAGTTAAATATGACTTCTAGGGTGTTCTGACCTAGCCTCAGACTCCTTCCTGCTGAGCTTGATCAAAGCAGCAGTATAAGCCAGAAATTATCACAAGACCTGATCAAYGGAGAGCAGGTGACATACCTACCTGGTGGGGCTGCTGAATTCGTTCTTATGACACTACAGAAGTCTGTGATGGGCTGCTCTGTGAACCTCTTCTTCCAATACAAGATATATCTTTAAAGAAAAGCAGCAGAGAAYTAATAAAGTAGGGAACAATAAAAGAAAAATCATAAACAGTAGATCACTTCTTTTTTCATCCTTTGAATCCTTACAGTGCTTGGGGTTTTTTTTTGTGCTTTTCTTTTTTAAATCCTTTTCTACTTTTCCTCATTTAATCTGTTTTTTCCTGTTCACTAAATCTATTCAGCCTCATTAAAACAGAGTTCAACTTCCCGGGCAAACCAAGCGAAGGTATCAGTAAGAACGATATGCGTTAAGCTCTATATAAACAATGTGACCTATTCACATCTTTAGACAGAAATGCCACCCAGATGCATCTTTTCTGAAAAGATATGCTACAGGGATGCTCCAATTCCCCGAGTACTGTGCTCAGTGTTCTGCCAGACGCAGACAAGAAGCTGAAACTCAGTGAAAACACAGACTTGTCAAGAATGAAGTTTTGACAGGTCTCCTGTGGAACTAGGCTGAAAACAGCAGCTTGGCAGACAACTAGAAAGACAACAGAATGAAATCCCCAGACACCTGGGGGTGGGCTGGGCTAGCAGGCAAGATAAGGAAGGCCCTAAATACATCTTCAAAGTTTAAGGCATTGACTTAAGCTGAAACAAACAAACTCTTGCTTGTACAATCTATAGCGGCATCGACAGATTCCCAACTGAGATTAAGGTCCCACTGAACTGGAAGCTGCTGTCTAATCAAGAAGAAGCCATGACTTAAAATTATATGTTAAGTTAACCAAGCAGCCCTTGTTATTCAGAATCTTACTACACAAAAACCTGCAAATGTGTAAGTGCGTGGCTATCCTTACCCCCATGACCAGTGCAGGGYATCAATCATATAAGAGTTCAGAAGATCAAGGCCAGCTACTCAAAAACTGCTTTCTGTTGTCATGCCATCAACTTAGAGGGAAAAAAAAAAGCACAAAAATTCAGACACCATTTTTATTTCTGTACAGTTGTAGCCATTCAGACTGGTACAACTAAGAGTTGAGTTCTAACAGCGAAGATTTCRTGTATTGGTTCATACCTCATACCACCTCTGTGATTTTTCTTAATTMATGAGAGCTTTAACAACAGCAGCCAAGGAACCAGCACATGTTTGTCCCTGCTAACCCTGACTCAGGCTAAGCTCTAGCACAGCACCAGGCAATGGCAGCATGGAGGGCTGCAGGGCGTTCAGAGGCATCATTAGATGTCCACAAGCGAGGGCAGCACTTTGCTGCTCCCCTGCCTGCTCCAGCCATCAGTACACGACAAAATATTTTTGCTGCTGCAAGTCTTCCAGGATAAGCCTTCCCTGAGCTTTAAGGATGCAAACCTGCAAGTGAAAGGAATTCAAGATGTCATTTAGACTGTCCTCTGCACTGAAATAGCACTGAGCACTACTCAGATAAAAATCTTACCTGACCTTAACCTCTCTGCCATGAAGCTTATTGTTAGAGGATTTAATATAATAACCTTTAATGCAAATAGTCAATGCTTACTCATATGAAGCCAACTCCTAGCCATGTTTCAAGGGACAGAGAACACGTGGTCGGTGTCTTCTGATTTTCATGCCTCACCCTCTGTTTAGCATCTCAGAGGAYACATTTTTTTGTGCATGTGTGCAGTTACTAGACTATTCTACTGATACTGAGCACTGCGATTAAGTGAAGGTAGAGGCCAGAGTTACAGCTCCACTATTTCCCATCCTGGAGTCACTTTCTTTAATATCTGGCTGCTTTCTATTTGCATTAGCAGCAAAAAGAATTTAAACAGACATTTTCTTGAAAAAAGTGATTTTAAAAGACATTTCTATTAACCCAGGATAATCCCCCAAGCACAGTTAAACTGCTATTGCATTCCTAGGTGGTTGCAATCCCTTTATTTACCTGAGGGAGCCAGCAATATCACCAAAAAACACTGCATTCTTGCTCTGGCTGCTTTCAGCATAAAAGCAAACAAAAAAACCCAGTGTCCATTTCCAATTTGAAGCAATGTTAAGCTTATATTTCTGAATAAGGGCTTATACGGCTTACACTTCCCAAATTTCACCTTAATCTTTCATTTTTGCATGCTGACAYGACTTATTGGCTTTGGCTGCATTGCTAATCGCAAGAGACCTACCAAAAATGTCCTTCAGTCAGTAAATAAGGTAGCTAATACTGCAACAGAACTATCTACAAATTTGTAGGTGCCACCCAGCCTCGTGCCTGGAGCGCACACTGTGGTGTGTGGCAACACAGAGCCCRGCCAGCGCTGGCACTGCCAGCCGCGCCTGCGCCAGCTACGCGTCAGGAGCGGGGGAGCCAAATGTGACCCTGCCGAGACGGCCAAGGACCCGGCTGTGGAAGGAACCGCAGCTCCAAGGACACCACGGCACTGTACAGTTAAGTGAAATGTCCTTCTGTGGTGAAATACTGGCGTCCTTAAGATGCAGCAAATGAATTTGATCCAAGAATGTGAGAGTTCGTGTACTCAAGAGTTTTTCATTACAAAACAGAGCTTTTGGAAGTTGCACGGCAGGAGGAAGTCTTGACCTTAATAAAACCGAAATTGGAAGAGTTGATTGTCTAGAATATATGTTATAAAATAAACATTTTTTAAGATTGTACGTAAGTTGTTGATTAATAACAGAATCTGAAGAGTCACTATGATATGGAAAACATTTTCTAACATATTGTCCTGTATTCCAATTATCAACTCTCCTCACCCAAGCAACATCTTGGGGGAGTGAGGAGACACCAGCCTTACAATCTAGCAACAAAGGAGCATAAAAAGCCCACCCAAAACATACAGTATTAAAAAAAAAAGACAACCCCTAGGTTGCTAAAGCTTTTTATATTTGCACATACASGTACCCATTTCAAAGCCTAAAATTCCTTACCTTCGAAAATCTGCAACCAGTTTCACATCTGCTATGACAAGCTTGTGTTCAATGATCATATGCTTGAGGAGCTGGCTCTGCTCTGCTAGCAGGTAGCCCTCTTCACAGAAAATGCAGGGCACATAGGGGCAGCTTTCTATGGCAGCACCACCAGCTGGGCTTTCTGGCAGAGAGAGAGGCTCCAAAACACACTCTGTATCTAAGATAAATAAATAAATAACATTAGCTTTGATTAAGAAATACATGCATCACTTAGAGCAGTTTTTGGCACTATAGGTAAAACCTGGGAAAGCATTTTTTTTTTTTTTTAAGTTTTCATTTTGTTACATGGATGCCTCCAGCAACAAATGTTTGGAAGGCAGTTAATTACATTATTTGCAGGGGAACTGTGAAGTTAGACCAGGCTAGTGCTTCAATACCTGCTCCAAGTGAAATTCCCAACTGACACCAAGTCAAAGCTTATCGGGCAGCAAAGCGCACTGCTCATTACCACAGGATGGAAGTGATGAGAAGTTCAGTGATGAGAAGCCTTCTTTTCTTCCTTTAGCTCCCTAGCCCACCTGCTGACCAAAGTCATAGAATCACAGAATCATAAAGGTTGGAAGGGACCTTTAGAGATCATCTAGTCCAACCCCCCTGCATGCTTGATAAACTCTGTTTTCCCCAAATATGGCTGTCAAACTTGCTGGAAAAAAAGGAGATTTTAAGGCATGTCAAGCAGATGGACACCTTCTATTAGATAAGATAATCCTCTGAACTCTCACTGAGAAATCATTCCCTGTGATATTGCTCGAGAGACCTGTTACCCTCTTCTGAATAAGCCTCAATACTGAATAAGCCCCTTGTTAATATTTTGTCCTGAAATGAAGCTTGTCTGTGTCACATTCCTCACACTATCAGCAGGACTTTAGACTGAACAGATTCTTTTTTTAATGCACCCTTACCTAACTATCCTCTTATTTATTGCACAGTACATAAACATTTTATGATCTTTTACAGGTTGTCTATTTGATTTGTCTTTTTCCCATTAGGATCCTTCTTAGTCTTCTACGTGAAAGCAAAAGACTGTTCTTGCTAAGGATTACTGCTACATGAACACCTAGACCTACCAAAACTATACGTGTACTGAAGAGGGGCCAGGACCACCCCACGTGGAATGGTTAGGAGCCTCTGATGACACTATCCTGTACGTCTGACCATAGGCTACTCCTACATACATACTCATACCTACAGCAGCCTGAAGAGGTRAGTCACTAACTGATGCTCTCCAGCTCACTGGTATCTTATGTTCCATGGAGCACACAACACTGCAGGAACGTAACCGCTTCCCTCTTACCTAAGTCAAAGCATTGGCCAGGGGGATGTGTCCTCCCCACCATTTAAACAGGAGCAGTGGAGGTTTATAAGCTCTCCTACTGCTGTGAATTAGTGGAATTTATCAAGATACATTGTGAAACTAACGGATTTCAACAGCTGGCCCACGAGCCTGACTGAACTGCAGGTGTCTGGAAATAAACTGTGTTGTTCACCTTCTGAACAAACCATATCTCATATGGATCTAGCTCAGAAATAAAGTACAAACTTCAAAGATACTATTCCGCACAGGAAATGTGGAGAGCAGTTTAGGAAGTGAGACCCTTTCAGCTGKTTTTTCCCCTCGCCGAAGGCCCTGCCAGGCCTCGCGGGGCGGCCCCAACCCAGGCCCACTGCTGCCCAGCAGGGATGGGGCCAAGCTGCAGGTCCCGGGGCCGCACGTGGAATGGGCAGAAAACCCCAGGTGGGTTTCATGAGACCGACGCTGCTCATGGAACAAGACAGCGGCCCTGCAAAACTCCTAAGGTTTCTACTCACCATACCAGTGCGGTTGACAGCCTAACATTTTTTCTCTCCTAGTTTTACCTGCACTTTAGCCTATGCCTTTCTCCCAGGTATTTCTTTAAGAAACTGGGATATGTATCAATTGTTTATTTCTTCTTTTTCTTTTAATAACTGCAGCTGCTGCCCTCGAAGATGTGTAGCATTTCTCGTGAAAAGACCAGCATTGCTGAGCGAAACCAATTTTACCTGCAAGATTCAGGTCTGCGAATTCCTACAGCTAGTATTGCTTTGCAGCCTCAAGAATCATTAAAATGTGTTTGCAGAGAAAAATAGAGCAACTTAGTTTTCCTCTGCAACTGCTGACTGATGCCAAGGGCATTAAGAGGACAGTCTGCGAGCCCGTTCAGCTGTGCCCAGSGAGCAGCTAGGCAGCATCCTGGTCATTCTTGGTTTGGGTCTCTTGCAATGACCTATTTAGACACAGAGGAGTCCTAAGAAGCAAATGCCTATCAGGCTCGACAAACTTTCAGAAAACAGGCATACAGGGCAGGAAGCCCTACTCGAAAAGGAGCAATTTAGCAGGAATATTTGGAAGTTGCAGTTGTTTGCATATGACGAAAAGGCTGAAGATGAAGCTGTTAATCTTTTAAGTTCAGTGGTGAGTTGCAGAAAGAAACGAATAGTGGTTGAGAAGTTCTTGATGCCCAAAGAAATTAGATAAAACTAAAAGAGATTAATTTAAATAGAGACTACTGGACCAGTGTGGCAACTGAAGAAGTTGATGTAATTTATAATAAAAGCACTTAAAGGAGGAAGTGAAGAGAAAAAAASAATCTTTGTGACCATCCTTGTTCTTACCTGCTGCAAAAAAACACTGAACAAGAGGATAAATGCAGAGAGCTGGACAAAGATGCATAGCCTTTAGCACAGTACTTAATGGATTAGCACAGAACACAAACATCACCACAGCACAAGCAAAGCTAAGCACATTATTGCAGTCTCTGCAAAAGCAGCTAATTTTGCTGCTGTCCTGGAGCAGAGTGGTCACGGGTACTGCAGGAAGCTGTTGAACTGTGAAACGTTGCTGAGGGCTGACAGGAGACACGCAGAGACACTGGAAGATTGGGGAAAAGCAGGAAACTTTCCTCTTAACTGYACTGCAACGAGAGTAACTGCTCAGGGTGAGATCAAATATCCACCTAGAACAGCACCCTGTGTGAGAGACACACGAGGCAGAAACCTAGGGAAGAGAATAAAAACAGGGCAAATGAACAGCAACCAGACTGCACAGCCCTCCTGAGATCTCGTGGTTGAGACCTTGGGTTACAGGCTACACCACACTTCTGTTTAACAGCTTTTTATGCATTTTTTCTTCCATGGATTTGCTGCAGTACTTTTTGCAATTGCCCACCTTCCAACACCTACAAAGACCTGCAGCAATGTTTCACCCTCTCCTGTCATCCACTCCTGCTGTCTGTGTTCAATTCTTTCTCTCTTCTGCTCTGCTTAAAATCTGAAGGAGGGGTCTAGAACTGCCCAGGAAGAGCAGAAAGAAAAGCAAGGAAAGGTCCTGGCCTTCAAAGCTCAGTTATAAAAGGCAAAGTCACAGACTGTTTAGGCAGCTTAATAGCCTGCTACCATGAAGATGTGAAAGGGTGTCTATCTCCAGCTTATCCCCTCTACTCCTAAGCACCCACTACTGCTCTTTAGCTTGTGCTGGCTCCTGTCCTTGCTTGTGCTGGCTCCTGTCCTTGCCAAATCCTTTGATAAGTAGATTCTACTCTGTAACCAGACAGAATTACTCCCTTTCCTTTTGGCCTGTAATGAATTGAATGTACTCACAGAAAAGTCTGGCCAGTGCAGGGGCAAGAGGATGGAAGGTGCAGCTACGAGCAGTGAGCTGGTACGGCTGCAGGCTATGAGGTGAAACAGGACTTTACTCTTTTAGGATGCAAAATTGGTTAAGAGATTCAGATGTCCCATGTAAGTCATGTCTGTGAAGCTTAGAAGGTTTCTTTAAAAGTATTACACACACAGGAAAACAAAACACTAAGATTTTAGCATTGCTAAGGACTAAGATTTAGCATTAGTTTCCTTAGGACATCCAGCACTACTCCTTTTCTCCGTGCAGGCGTACAAAGCTCGCTAAACGGAGCGAGAACCGTTGGGCTCAACTCTTTTTGGCTGCACATCCAAACTACGTTTTCAGTTTAGACCTGAGCACAAGCTTAGTGCTGGTGCATAAACTAGATTCTGTAACTAGACAGTGGAGGCACTACAGTCCAGCTCCACAAAAACAACCCAAACTTGAGCCTCACAAATCCTAACGTGCACATGTTGGCCTTGCAGTGGAATATTCAGCCTTGTTTCAAGTGCCAGAGCTTGGGGAGAGGCAAATACCTTCCCAAAAGCACTCAGCAGGCAGAGGAGGAACCCCCTAGGACAATCTGCAGGGATGTTGAAAAGGGAGGCACTTAGACCCTTCTTGAAGCTTTGCCATCGGATAAAAAGGAATGAGAGACATGAGACCAGAAAGAAACAAGATGACATACGTCCAGTAACCAGGACTTTTATCCAGGAAAGAAGAAATCTCATTCCTTTTGCAAAGATTAAGCATTTTTGCCAGCAGCTATTTATTATCAGACAGAGAAAACAAGTGAAAACCCAAGACTTAGTGTATACTGAGAAATTAAACGGCAAGAGGGGATTTCATGCAAATTGGCTTAAGATTAGATATTTACAGGTTTCATGTCATTTTTCAGTTTATGGTAAAACACAGTGTTACGCTGAAGAGTAATTATAAATACAAACATTTATATGACGTAAATATACACATACACTATACATTTAATAAGCCCACTGTTGGCAACACAAGGATAATGAAACAAAATAAGAACATCTGCTGGAATGTTAAGTGTCTTTCTAATTAAATCCAGTAGTTGAATGAATCAATTAATTACCAACAAGCTTAGCTTATTATCACATTAATACAGCTGGTTAATATTATGAGATTAGTAGAACTTGAAAAAACCTTAAAACAAAAATGAATGGAACAAAAGATCCACTGGCAAATAAATGAGTCTAAAAAATGAATAAAAGACAGACTTTTTTATAGGTGAAAAGAACAAAGGAGAGGGAAAAAAGTCTAAACAATGTGTAAAAGGTTGTTTTTTTACAGGTGAAAAGAACAAAGGAGGGGAAAAAAAGGCACAGGAAAACAAAGGAGGGGCAGCAAACCTGGCACTCCCCTAACAACGGTGTAACAGATGCCTTCAGGAAAGCAGAAAGGTTGGGCATCCTCCCCCTGGCACACACCATTTTTAAGGCAGGAGCATTTATTAATCAAAATGAATAAAACCCCRCGCATGTTTCATTAGGGAA